CAAAGACAAAAGAAAACTCTTTTCCATTTGCTAACATGCATGCTGGCTGCTTTGAAGGCTTTTAAACAAATTCTTACAAAGTATTTGTTATTAGCCCTCATGTCTGTAGTTATACCATGATGTTAGAGGTGCAGTAACTTACAAAATATATATTTTTAAAACACAGTATAAACTGGCTAATGTGGATGATGCTGGATATGTTGGCAATAACCTCATATATCATTATCATGACACAGATAAAACACAGTTGTATAAGGTATTTTACTATAAAAATAGTTATATTACTGCAGATATTACAAATTACCTGGGCTGGCAAACATTATAAACATTTCAAGAATGATTAATTTCTAAAAATAACAAAGTTAAGCAGAGCTTAGAAGTCGAACTTGAGATTTTCACAACTAAAAGAAAAACATGTCTTCAGAGAAAGAATTGTATGGGAAAATATTAGGTAGTAAAATGTCATTTTGTATTTTGGACTTTCCAAGTCTTATGTCTTGTTAGCAATTATAAAAAATATATAGAATTTAAAAAAAAATCACTGACATAAAATAATTTACAACTATAAAATACATTAAYAATAAAAAGAAAATTATGTAAAAACAGGTAAATACTAAATAAATATGCATCTGATCTTTRTCTGGACCTAAGAATTATTTAGTATAATAACGTGAACATAACAAAAAGCAGATTAGCTTGTAAAGTCCATGAATATAAAAATACATATGTGACTTTTACAATAAATAGGCTTTCAGAAAAAAGCATGCATAAYGTCTTTCTAGAAGAATATTTAATTCCTATGTTTTTCTGTGAAAATGCTATACAATTTTTTTTCTGTTTCTCATATTAAGTGCCAATGATTTTGTTTTCCACCTCTTCAGTTGTGACTCTGTTTAAAAAGAAACTTTATTTAAGCTGAGATGTAGTTAAAATATATGAGCACAAGACAAGTCACCTTCAGGACTCCCAAAACTTTGGTGCTTGGGTGAAGTTACATCCTAGGATGAGATCTCCTAGCCCAGTGACCCACAATGGACCCAGATATTCCTTTACTGCCAATGGGAATGAGCTCCAGGGACCTACATTATTATGGTTATTGTTCTGAAATTTTCTTGGTTTTCCTTGCTCTTAACCACATAAGTAAAATGACAAAAAAAAAGTACACTTTATCTTCATGCAACACTATGATAGCACTAGCAAAGATTGGCCACTGCCTTACTTCCTTCTCTTTCTTTTCTGCCAGTTCTCACTGCATTATAGTAGGGGTTCTGTGCTCTAAAGGAAGGGGATACAGCCATGGAAAACAGAAAAAGAGAAATACAGAGGTACACAGAGACATAAAATATGAACAGATAAACATAGAACCAGAGACATTTCTTAATTTTAAAAATTATATATGTATTTAATGTTGATGTTCTGATTATTTTATTCTGATTATTCTGATATTATTCTGATTATTCTGGAGCAATATGATTATTCAATTAACATAAGCATATTAGAATTAGTTTTTTTAGCTTAGTTTCTAATTTTATCAATATAGAGAGACCTGGCAAAGCTAACCCTCGACAATTATAGATTACCAACTAAAGAGTGGTTTAAGTATTCCTACATTTTGCAAATAATTTAGATTAGACAATAATAACGTTAATAATAATTTTTTGTTTAGATACTAGTATTTAGAAACTTCTTGTAAAACTTGAATACTAAGGTTGAAGTAAAGAGAAGATTGTCTTCAAGTCTCAGGTTGAGACTAAGGATAGTTGCATTTTTTGCTTATCTAATGTTTAACCACTTCAAAGTAAAYAAGGTGTAGGAAAAAAATGGAAGACTTATCAAATACCAATTACTATGTTAGAAGTTTTATATATATTATTCCATCCATTACTTAAAGTATCCTACAAGAATTTGTACCTTACAGATAACAAACAGGCTTAAACTTTTTAATGTACTATAAGCTCCTTGAGGAAAGAAATGCAAGTCTTTTGTTCAGTGTTATATCTTTAGTATCAAGCACAGTGTTCTGGCTAAGTTTACTAGTGATAAATGACATAAATTAACTAGTTTACAAAGAAATAGGGTTTCTGAGCTAGTTGGTGGAACAGTTAGAATTTTATCTCAGGTCTTTCAGGTTTCAAAACCCAGTCTGTGCGTCAAAAGAACATGAAAGAGGCAGGTAACCAGTGTTTCTGCCTCATGTACTCCAAATTAACAGAAGGTCCTTGAATTTAATTTCTCTCAATGTCATTTAGCAGCTACACTACCTCAGTCAAGTTGCTTTACCATTCAATATCTCAATATATTTTTCTGTGTAAAGATAACAGTTACGGTAATCACAAATAATAATAAACCCATGTGATTGTATTAAGGATTAATTAAACYAATATCTGAAGTTTATGGCCATAAAATCAAGAGTCAAGATTATTATTTACTTTGGAAGAAGGGATAGTCATAAAAGTTATTATTCAGAAAAGCTAATATCCAGGGTTCAGGAGGGCAAACAAAGCTGGACATCTCAACAGTATACATGTAGATGCCATCAGAGAATGTTTTAGAAACAAAGGTACTTTGAAAACTATCAGACATTTTAACTCATTCATCTGAGTATTTTCAATCATACAGTATTTCTTTAAGCCAGTATTGATAGATACTCTAAAAAGCCCTAGCCTGCCTGTTACAATTTACCACTTCATTAAAGGTATGTTCTTCTACTTTTAAGCAAGCAGGATTCCAAAGGGTTGTTCATAGAGTACTTCAGTCAAAAATCAAAAGTGGCAGCACAAAAAATAAGGAGAAGACATTCTATAAAAGGGAAAAAAACAATATGCATTTCTCTGGTGCTAACTTTTAAAATATCATAGAAGGTAATAAGAATAAAGTTTATAAGTAAAAATCCTGAATATTATTTAGTCTACTTTGGTTAAAATTCAAGATAATTTTAAGTAGTCCAAATAAAACAGAAAGGATTACTTTGGTTGTTAACCCTCAAGTAGTTTACCAGGGAAATATTCTATGTGTTCTATGAATATATCAGAAGTTTTAAATGAATTTACATACTTCTCAGACTTATCTGGAGATATTCTGGGTGTGTTTGTGTATGTTTTTGTGTGTTTAATACACACACCATGCTCACAATCCAAGACCAGTGATCCATGGCTCAGCCATGTTTGAARCCCAATAAATACATACAAGATGTCACTTTTTACAACCAAGAAATTCAGCTCTGGAAAAAGATAATCTTTCCTACAATGTCTACTTTTGCTATTTTTAAATACCTTCCTCAAACAAGGGTAATTTTAAAGTGACYATTTGAACAAAAATCATGTATGTGTGTAATTCTTAGTGTGAATATCAAATGAAATAGTTCTCATGGCCGGCTAATTCCTGGTTGTTTTAATTCACTAAAATAAAAATAATCTGGATGGACACAGTATTATGATGAAGAAAATTAACATGTTTGAAGATAAAATTTTCATTCACTGAGCCTGATTTTTTACATAGGATATTTATTTAATCCTCAAAGTAATCTCAAGTAGCTAGTTTTATTTTGCTCTTTTTAAATTAAAAATTAATTTTAATCACCTTTAGATGTATGTATAATTAGAAATGCATTCATTTGAGTGATATGATTCTTATTGCCCCATACAACAAAATGTTTGGTGTACTCATGTATGTGAACGTAAGTGAACCATCAGTATATGAATTAAGAAAACATTTTGAAATTTTTGACAATTTACTTTATTTAAAACAAGGTATAAATAGGATTTTTTTTCTCATGTTTAAAAATCTACGTACCTTATAACATGTTAGAACTAGATATATTAAATCTGAGGAAATTTAGAGGAAAACTTCAAAAAGGAAAGAAGTTATTTTATCCAGTTTTTATTTTTCATCACGACAGTAGAATGCAATTCAAATGGAAATAAGCAATTGCATCATTGGTGAACAATGGGTTTCTGAAGACTGTTAAAAACTAAAAGTGAACTAAAGAGGCTAAAAATGCATTTCAGCTGCTTGCTACAAATGTAAAATTCTGAAACATCCTAAAAACTGGCAAATACAGCTGTGCCTCTTTTTCTTTCCTATAAGTATTATCAATGTATGAGATCGTACTAAATCATTTTTATCTTAGTGCAAACCCAATGATAATTAGCACAAAACTTTAAATTATAAAAAAGGAACACATGAACATATATATAGACTTAAATTTACCTGTTTTGRAAAGATTCAGCGAATACATTAAGATGTACAAAATATGTTAGTCATCCTTCCATACAGAATGATTGTGAATTTTATAAAATTTGCAAAGGCATATGACTTCTATACTATCATATTTGTGTAAGAAATATCAAGTTTATTGAATAAAATGAGTTTATAAGTTCATTATGGAGTATATTAGCATGTTTCTGCAAAATCACCTTTCTCTAAAAATGAAGGGATATATTCATACTATTCTCTTGTAGGGTTTTTGTTTTGTTTTGCATTTTGTTTTTGCAATGAAAGGTATATGACAAAAACAATTTCACTCTAATGAGAGGTTAGAGTTTATACTTTGTGTATTAAAGATTGTATGAAATAGTAACTCTAAAAAAATGATTACTTAGTCTGGGAAAGCAGAGTTTCTTTCATCATTTTTCTAAATGTTTATACCTTTTACATTCAAATTTTTTAAGCACAAAAACATGTAAGCCCAAAAATTCACAATGATATAATACAGCTGATTTTCCATAAGTGTGATAAAACAAAAAAATGCATTTTTTAATAATTAAAAATAAAAATAGCAAAACCGTTTGGTTTTGCAAACATTTCATGGGCACTTTAAGAAATTCAATTGAAAAGTTGTATTTACCATAGCTAAAATTACACATATGGTACTTACTCATTTTAACAWATGATTTTTAAAAAACTAGAAATTATCAGAGCAAGGTTTTTGGAGAAAAGGTCTAACATGAATAAGTGAAATAACATTAAGCATTACATAAAAATCTAGTTAAAGATCTTACCATGAACTATTGGTGCTAAGAGCATCATGAARGTTAGTAGCTGTGATGGCCACATGGCTGTGGGCTTGGGCGTGAGAATTCCTCAAGAATGTATGTTTCAAACGTGAAACAAAGTCACTGTGTTTGTGGTTCCTCTTCTGTACTCCAAGATTGATAATTAAAAATTAAAACAAAATCAAAAAGTAAAAGAAAAATTCCTCAAAAATTGAAACACCAATATTCCAAATATGAAACCTGCAAAAAAGAAGAAAAAAGGGGGTGTGGTGGTTATCAATTAGAAGGTATTCTTATTTTAATTCCCTGAAGAATTGCTTTATTTCCTCTTTAAACACCTGTTTTCTGTTCCCATCTTTTCTGTGTACTGGGGATTGAACCCAGGGCACTCTACCACAGAACTGCATCCCAGGACCTTTTTASGTTTTATTTTGATTTTGAGACAGGATCTTGCTAAATTGCCAAGGCTGGCCACAAACTTGAGATTCTCCTGCTTCAGCCTGCCTAGTCTCTGGGATTACAAGCATGTACCACTGCATTCAACATTTTTTCAACTGAAGAGCCGAAACTTCAACATAAAATGGGTAAGTAATCTAAAAACATTTTTATGCATGTATTACCATAGTTTTTATACCTCAAACTCAAACCATCTCTACTGGACAAATTAATTTAAATATACTAATTTTAATATGTATAAGGAGACTTGAGGACTGCTTTTCGTAAGTATTTTCCATACATATATAATTTTACTAACAGAAGAGTAAAATATCATCATTCACCAAATAAAATTTTTACTAACATTAAAATAGTAAAATATTTTCATTATTCACTATTACTATAAGTTTGAAAGGGAAAGTTAAGTTACTTTCATTTTAGGCACTTATATTCTTTCAGAAATTTTCCTACATGTTAACTACATTACTTTTCTAAGCATTTTACAACAATTGTGATTACAGATTTATAAGAGATGCTACTTTTATGTTTGATTGTCTAAAATCTCAATACTGAAATTTAATGCACGATATAACCTAAATTACAATTTTAAAAATTTTATTAAAATGTGCTTCTAGCCAGGTGCAGTGGTGCATACCTGTAATCCCAAACATCTCAGGAGACKGAGGCAAGAGGATCTCAATTTCAAAGCCAGCCTCAGCAACTTAACCTTTATCATATCAAAATTACAAGTTTATCAAACTATTTTAGTTTTTTGTTCACTTAAATCCCACTAGTAAGAACACAAATTCTTAACTACCTGATCTCAATTACTGTTCTAGAATGGTGACCTCCAGTAATCACTTAATGACTTGGTACCTCAGTTTCCCTGTTTATATAAAGGCGAA